ATTACGGCATTAAACGGCTGCAAGCATTTTCCAGCAGGTTATGGATACAATGCTCGTAGAAGGAATTACTCGAAAGGCTGGACAAAGTCATGGAGAATCTCGTCAATTACTAATTTAAAATTAACATGCAAAAAAGCGAATTTTTGAGGAAAGAAATTCACTATCTCGGATTCATAATAAATGCAGACGGAAGAGCACTGGACCTCGAGTGAGTGCTGGCTTTTTAGAGCATAAAAACCCCACAGAATGTAAAGGAATTACAATACTTGATGGGTCTTGGCAGTTACTACGGGTCGTTCATAGAGGGACTTCACAGTTTGAAGGGAACTTTAAATCAACTTTCGTGCAGAGATACGTCATTCTTCTGGTCAGAGGACTGCCAAGCATCTCTTGCGACGATAAAGGCTAAGATAAATCATTCGACGATGCTCTCATATTTCGAGTTGAACAATGAAACGATCGTTCAAGCCGATGCCTCTGACTATGGACTGGGCGAAGTCTTGCTTCTAAAGAATGTGGACGGAAAAGTTCAGCCTCTAATGCATGCTGCAAGGTCACTGGCGAAAGCTGAAAGAAATTACAGTCAGATAGAAAAAGAGGCTTTCGCTGTAATCTTTGATGTCTAAAGATTTCATCAGTTAATATATGGCAGACATTTCACTTTACACACGGATCATCAGCCTTTAAAGTTTCTTCTGGGGACGAACGCTGGCATACCGCAGACTGCAGCGAAACGGATTTAGCGATGAGTAACAATCCTCTTGAACTATGACTACACCATTCAGTACATACCCATGCAGACATTTGGAGCCCCAGACGCGTTATCGAGGTTAAGCGAAGACAAAGAAAGTCGGAAGAGGTAATGGTAGCACAAACTCTTGCCGAAGATGACGCAGAACTTAGAAAAGTTATTCGACAGGTTCCCATCACAGCCGAGCACATCAGAGTTGCAACAATGGACGACCCACTACTAAGCCAGGTAAAGGAAGTCATACTGCGTGGCTGACCCGATAAAGACGAAGCACACGCATGTATTAAGGCTTTTGAGAATCGAAAGGATCAGTTGTATATTGTGCAGGACTGCTTAATATACGATGGCCGAGTGATTGTGCCGGCTAAATATAGGGCACAATATTGCGAAAGCTACATGCTGGGCACCCGGGTATAACTCGGATGAAACAGCTAGCAAGAAAGTACGCTTACTGGCCCGAAACTGACGAAAATATTGAAACTTTTGTCCGAATCTGTGGCCCGTATGGACGTTTCGCAATGAACCCCCCGAAAATCCCACCAGTGTCGTGACCGGAAGCCACGAAACCCTGTAGAAAGATCAACCTGGACGACGTGGGCCCTTTTGCAACATGATGTTTCTCATTGTGGTTGACGCGTGGTAAAAATGGCTAGAGGTTTTCGATGTTCCGGTAATCACGGCGGAAAACACAGTGCGGAAAACTGAAGAGTTAATCTCGAGGTACGGAATCCCGACAGAGATTGTGACAGATAGTGTGACCCAGTTTACCTCGAGCACATTTCAGCAGATGTGTCAAAATATGGGGAATCAAACATATAAGGTCGCCGCCTTTCCATCCTCATTCCAATGCCCAGGCCGAAAGGTTTGTCGGCACATTCAAAAGGACAACGTGAAAGACGTGGAACTCAGGCGTCAAGATGGAGCACCTTAACAAATTTCTGTTGGCCTATCTAACGACGCCGAAGACGGAGCTAGGGGGATCAACTCCGGCAGAAAGATTTCTGGGCAAACAAACCGATGTGCGTCTGCAATACATGAAACCTGTGGTCCGAGAGGTTCAGCCGCGAAAATCCTGTTTCGTGGAGGGCGAAGATGTATACGTATGGGATTACGTTCCAGGAAGGTAACCGTGGATGGAGGGTATAATCAAACGGACCCATGGTGTAGTTTTCGAAGTTGAGACAAGTCGAGGACATGTTAAAAGACACGCAAACCAGTTCAGACACCAAATAACGTCAGACATCCAACTGGCCATAGACCAACTCTGTGACACTTTCAGTATCCCGACTCCGAAGGTTGAAGTACAAAATGTGGTCCAGGCGCCTAGGCGATCCTCTCCAACTAGACGCCCCCCCAACAGACTTGTGATCCGCCCGAATTGCCGAACATACGAGGTTCAATCTTTAA